GGGATCGCGCCACGCCCATGCCACCTCGCGCGCATTTGGTTTGGCGTTTGGATGGATTGATTTATTTGCCTTACCTTACCTTACCTTACTTTATTTTCTTTTTTCACGAAAGCTACGAGGAGAGATTGAGGGGATCGAAGCGAAAGATGATCGGCATGAGACAATCAGACATGCTTAGCGGATTCAGGGAGGCGGTGTGGAACCCATTTCTCCTCAAATCAAGGAAAAGAAAAATTGGAAAGGAAGGAGAGCTGGAGGTAACCCTCCCCATCACGCCAGTACCATTGGAGAAAGCTACCCGCGATGGCTTGAAGCAGTAAAACAAGGATATCTCGCATGTTGAGAGTAAATCCACGATATCGCCTCAATGTTATGTTCTTTTATGTCATGTCACCCAAAAAGTCCTACAAACGTTAGATATCTATATCTATATCTATATCGATAGATATATATCGGAGGAATGCTTAGGGAGGAAGAAATACCAGAGCTGCTTCTCTACTGGTAGTATAGCATTGTTAACATTATTTTCAAGCAGAAAATTAATGAGTTTTAAAAAGAAAAGAGAAAGACTGGTGAAGGTATTGGCTTTTAAGAATTTAAAGCTAGTACGGCTACGTATTCAACGATGCCGCAAATAAAGTAACAGGTAAACATAATAATAATAAAAAATAGGTCAGAACCACCCGTTAAAGCAATGGAAGTAAAATCTGAGAAGTATAGGGGATAAAAACAAGGTTTACCCCTATACCAAACCGAATAAGCGGATAACCAAAACCAAAAGAAGAAGAAAAAAATGATCCTAATATTAATAATGTGAATAGGCAACGAGGTCCCACACACGAGGGTTCGCCTCTACATAAACCACAGCCGCCTTCTCACGGGCTCCGGAATCATCTCGCATCGGAGCTGCGGAACGGCGTCGAGCAGCCGCTCCGCCTGATCGGCGAGACGGTGCGCGCAACGCGTCGACATCGGCAGCTTCGTCGCTTGCGGCGACATGATATTCGCCATGACGTTCGCGAGCTGCTGCACGTCGCTGATCTCCAGCGTGGGGCTCTGATGATGCACGGTGTACTTCACAATACGCGCCGTCGACATCTCGCAGTCGTGCGTCTGGAGGTAGAAGGTGGGGGCGACCACCTCGTAGTCGAGCGAAACAGGGGCGAGGGCGGGGATCAAAACCCCTTTGACAAGGTTGCTGAAGCTCCCCATCGGCGGCCCGCTCGGGGAAGCGGTGAGATCCTTCGTCAATGAGCCCTTTTTTTCCTTCCCATCCGACGAGGCGGCGGAGCGTTCGTACACGAAGCGAATATTGCTTCGCTTGTGTAAGCACATAAAGGTGAGCCCACAGCTTGGCATGCAGGCGGCGATCAGCTCTTTGATTTGACAGAGCTCGCTGAAAACGTTGCCGTCTTGAAAGATGACGAGCTGATCGATCCCGCCGGAGAGCGCGTCGGCTTCGTCGAGAACTTTTTGAAGCTGCTTACTGAGCTGCGCGACCTCGCGCCCGCGCGATTCCTGGCGCCAAAACCGCGAGATGAGGTGATTCCCGTTTTTTGTGTACAGGATACCGACAACGGCGCCGGTGCTTATCGCGTTCGTATGGCAGGCGTCGACGCCGACAAAAAGCATTCGTAGCCCGGCAATTACTGGAACCTCCTTCGCGAGATCCACGCCGCGTAAGGGGTCGCGCTCGAACTTATTAAACAGCTGTCGCCGAATGTTTCCACATAAAATCGACGCCCGCGCGGCCGTGGTCGCCGGCAATATGCAAACAGGTAAAATGCCGCGACTTAGGCACTCTGCGATCACCCACCGCGTCGCCCGCGAGTCGGGCTCCATCGTGATTAAAATCACCGCTGTGTTAATATCGCGTAGCCGCATCGCGGAGGGGACCTTTTCTTCCCCTTCCCCTTCCATCACCGCTGTGGGCTCGAGAAGCCGCTCGATGACGAAGCACACAGCCGCCTCTTCGGATTCCACGCAGGCAACGTTGTTCTCCGCGTTGAAGTACGTCGCCATGCGCCGCGCCGTTAGCGCGATCCGATCCGTTTCCTCCGAGCTGCAACGCGACCCCGCGACACCAAGAATGACGACCGTTGTTGGAAAAGAGGCGACCGACGACGCGATCCCGCCGCATGATTGAAGAAGCGCCTGCTGCTGTGGAAGTGAAAAAGGGAGTGGTAATAATGATTGTGGTTTCGACCGCGACACGATCTTTTCGGGCACCGGCAGCACCGATATCTGCCGTGTTCGCAGAGGCTCCTCTGCGAGGCGAATCCCCCATCCACGGAGGCCACTGGAGAGGTGGCGGCAGTACCTTTGCAAGTGCCGTAGGCGCCGTGGCGGGAACATTGAGAACGTGGCGATGGCTGCCCGCTGCCAGCTGCTCACGTGGGGATCGAAGCAGCAATGCAGAAGCTGCAGCGGCATCGCGTGATGATCGGAGATCACCGCCCACGGCTGCCGAGGATCCAGCCTGGGCCGCACCCAATCCGGTAGCGACGAAAGCTCCCATTTCTTATGACTATGCTTCTGATTAGTATTCTTGATAGACGTCAGGGCGGTGTCGTTGGGGAAGTGGAGGATGCGGATGCTGCCTTGGTAGAGGTCGAGGGCGCTGACGACGGGCATCCCATGCAGCGCGCGGGTGATCGCGGTCCGGGCGGCGTCGTCGTACGGCCCCCCGCCGTGGCGCTGGACGACCTCCGCCCACACGGAGGTCTCCGACGCGAGGGTGCCTTTGGGGTCGAGCTTCAGCACCAGCCGTCGGGCCAACGAGGATGAATCAGAAGAGGCCCCAGAGGGTGTCCCAGAGGAAACTCCGGGGGATGTCCCAGGGGAGACCTCAGGGGATGTCCCAGAAGGGGAAGCTGCCGCCGCCGTGGCGAGTTGCGGCCCTCCCCCCCCCCTCCCCAGCCTCTGCCGTGACGGTCGTCCGGCCTGGGAGGAACTCAAAGAGGCGGAGGTGGTCGCGGCTGGGGAAGATGCGGACGTGGAGGGCTGTCGCGGTGTAGACGCGGCCCGGCTGCAGCGGCCGCGGCGACGGGGGCTCCCAGAAGGACGCGAGGTACGCACCCGAGGCGTCCTCGATGGTGTAGCTCTCGACCTCCCGTCCCTTGTAGGTGAACGCGCGGAGGAAGGATTTGGCCAGAAAGCGAATCGGCCGACCCGTCGGTGTGGTGCCCTCGGGAAGGGTGGCGAGATCAGTGGAGTTCGGCGCCGCTATGACGACTTCCACCTCGCCTGTGGTCGTTTGCGGGTCTGTCAAGGACGGCTCGGAGTCGCTCGCGTCCACAAAGATCGCCTGCGCGGTCACCCCGCTAAAGAGGCGGGCACCGCAGGAAGAAATACCACCCGCCAAATTCACCAACTTCCCTCCTCGTTCTCGCACAACGCGGTAGCCGCTGCCACTGCTGTTGTTATTAGGATCATTCTCATTTTCTTCACCCTCCTGCAGTGCGGGGGTGTTGCAGATCGTCCAAAAGACGATCTTATTGATCACCTGCTGCAGGCAGTGTGGATTGAGATCCTCGTAGCGAAGCTTGGCGATAAACCGCAACTCGCAGTTCTTCCAGCCGAGATCGTAAAATTCTGGCGGCACCTTCAGCGCTTTCGCTGGTAACGGCGCGATCGTATAGAGCTTGTAAACGTGCTGAATCATCGGGGGAGGAGATTTTGAAAAAAAATGATTGAAAAAACGGCGAATAACATTCCATGCATTCATGGGAGGCACACGCCGGATTTCTACCCCATCATCGCTTCCAAGCGGTGGTGACGTGAGAGATTGCTTAGCTTTTACTCGCCTTCGTGCAATTACATGTGAGGGTAGCGCTAGTGCACTACTCCTATCAAAGTTCTGGTAGGGGCGTCGTGTGGCGCAAATGTCGTAGACGTACAAAAATGCACCGTGTGTGTCCCTGGCGTTGGCATCGCTGGCGCTGGAGAAAAACAGCGGAAATAGGTTCGAAACCACCCCATCCTCTCGCAGGCGTCTGCGCACCGCAAATCGCGAGCGTTTATCCACCATGCGATCGCGTAAATGAGATCGGCTGAGCTCCTCCACTGGGGTCTGCTTCACCGGCATCGTCCAGAACGTCTGTGAGGCGTCTGAGACGGCGAAGGCGGCGGTATTTCCACGCCGAGTGGGCAGAATTATCCCTCCCTTCGCTTCATTTGTGGGATGCACGCGCGGGAAAGGGGCGGGAGCGTGGTTTGGGGAGGGGTAAAATGAACCGCTAAGGACGCTATTCTTAAGAAGAGCGCGCGATTCTCTGAAGATACCGAGACGGGAGTTAACAGAAAGGCGGCGACCGAGAAAGCAAAGAAACCTAGCGGGAGGGTCACAGCGCCAAAGCATCAGCTCGGATAAGTGTCGTTGAGGTATTAAAAGCATCTTTGCTTACCTTCCTCGCACAATTCTATGAGAAGCTTTCTTTGTGGAATTATTACGCCAATAGATGTTCCCTTTCTGTGTGTGATTCAGGCACTTTTTTTGATTATTATTCCCTTTCAATTCTTTATTTTGTGCCTTTTAGATTCGAGTCTAAGAGCCCTTAAAACCCTGTGGTGTGAGCGTAAGTGCGTGTGGCTATGTGCCAGCTTAAGAAGAGGAGCTTATTGCAGAGAGGAAAGGCTTAATGAGAGGTCGAGGTTTGGTTACCATAAGTGCTTGAAAATGCACTTGAGGCCCGTGCGTTGATCTAAAAAGACTGAATGGATATTCGCGAACAAAAATATTACATCACAAATTATCAGCTCAATATTGATATCAACAATAGACGACATACTTCATTACCTAAAAAAATAAAATGAAATATGTATACTTATCAGCTTTCTTCAATCATTACAACATTTTTTCTTTCCCCTCTATGGACTCATAATCTTTATTGCAGACCCGGAAGGAGTGGGGGCTAGGTAAACAAAAAGGGCACTGAGGAAATCAAACGCGCTTAACTAACTTTTGAACTATCTGCCTTGATTTTCAATCTTTAGCTGTTTCCACACACGCACAAAGGTGAATCATGCTTGCGGAAACAAGCAAACAAACAAACAATTTATCTCTCCAAAATAGATTTGTATTGAGCATATTCTTTTTTTGTTATCAACCACTCTAAAGAGGAAGATTCGCTAAACAATAAGGCAGTGGATGGCGAGGGGGTGGGCGAAGGAAGACGACAGTTTTGGGAGGGGAAATGGAAATGAGATTAAGCGACTCGTTCATAAAGCAAGATATACGCCGTCGTATTTACCACATTTGGCAAGTTACTTGATATCCCAAAGAACTGCTGCACATCCCTCGCCGTCATGATATTCACAACTTTATCATCAAAGCAATACCAAAGCTGTTCGTTGTATCTAATGCACGTGAAGTAATGCCCGATGCTCACGCCTTGTCCACGATGAGCGATGAATCCCGTTAGCTCGAAGCGCGCCTTATGCCGTGCGATGCTCTGCATCACGTGCCGTATCGATTCCAAATTCGCGCGATGCCCATCCCCTTGTGCACTGCTTTCCTTGGAAGCCTTATTTAGAGACTCCTTTGTTTCTTCCTCTCCTTTTGAGTTCTCCTCCTCGACGTTTGGAAAGCCGTTGGATAGGTTGGCTCGATTTTCGCCATGCTCGTGGGGGTTATTCTCATGCGAGGTCTCCGTCTCGTATTCTTCGAGATCCATCGAAGTGGGTACCGCGACGTGATCCGATGCCTTCGTATACATCTCCCTATTCGCATCATACCAAAACCGTTTGAGATGCACTATCAGCGCGTACTGGGGGAGCTTTTGCACGTAAATCCTCTTCGCCGCACACACCAGCTCATTGCACCTTCCACAGCGCAATTTATTTTTTCCATAGAAGTAGTCTTGATCGCCGATGTGCTGAAGGCAGTGCAGGAGTGAGCATCCTTGCTTCGTATCCACACTGAGATCCATGAAGAGCTCCTCGCGGGTGGAGACCTTCCCGCAGCTGAAGCATGCTGTGAGGGAGCAGAACATCCCCTTCAGGATCGATTCTAGCGGGGTGAGGCCGGGCATCACCCCCGGCTTCGGGGCCGCGGGGCCTCCGCTGCTCTCGACGTCATCAGGGAGGGAATCTCGAAGCGACCCTCCCGCCCCCATCTGTCGAGGGTCGACCTGCGTCGTGTTTGCCAAGGATTCGCCCGGCGCCAAGGACTTCTTCTTCTTATCTTTTCGCCAAAAAGCATAAGACTTCTTCTTTTTGAGCTCCTCCTCAAATAGGGCGCGGTTTTTTGGATCTGTCATCATCTTCTTCTCCGTCTCCATGATATTGTTCAGCAAGAACATGGCGAACTCGTGTGCATCTTGCTGCATGCTGTTGTCAAAGGTGGAGTTGAGCTTGCAGACACACTGCAGAAGCGGTCTCGGATCCACCACATCGCACAATTTTGTCATGCCCCCCTGTTTCGGCCTGTTATTCAACTTATGCATCGTAGCAAAAAGGGCGCAGAGGTAGTACAGCGGCGTCTTTTCGTCAAACCCGATGCCGCCTTTTTTGCTCGCGTAGATGTCGTGCAGCTCGAGTAGCCGGAGGCGGAGGGGGACGCAGTGGTAGAGGAGCTGAATCACGGAGTTGTAATAACAAGTGTTGCCGTAGTTCTCAAGCCCGACCGGGTGCCCGGTGATCGCAAGATATCGCGTGTGGGTGGACGACATGCCGTTGCTCAACGTATTTGCACCTTTTAGCATCCAGCTCACGCTCGTGAGGGAGGCGCTCCGCGAACGCTCTGAGCCGCAGATCGGGGAGCCGACCCCACTTGGGTTCGCCGCCGTCCGTGCGAAGGAGAGCTGCCGGTAGGAGCGCAGCACGAGGGAGCCGCACCTCCCCCCTGCCTCCCCGTCCCCCGCGACGTTGCTGTAGGTCGGCAGCGAAATTGAGGCGATGGGGGGGGAGCTGATTCTCCCTTGCGGCGGCGCATCGCTCGTGGAGAGGGGGACGCGCTGGCTGTGCGAGAAGGAGGCCTTTAAAGTGGGCGACCCCGCTGCCGAGTAGGAGGTGAGCGAGACGGAGGGGCGGAGGGGGATCGGCACACCTCCTCCCTTCCTTTCGCTGCGCGTTGTCGGGATCGGTTCAGAAGCCGTCAGCCTCGCGCTCATGGTGGTGAGCGAGCGTGAAGGGGGGGGCGTGTCGTTTGCGATCACCGGGGGTGAGGGCCGCCCGTGCATGGTTTTGGAGTCCCTCCGGGCGGGGGGGATCCGCCGACCCCGCTCATTCGCGGGGTCGGCATCGCGGGAGTTGGTGTTACCCATGAACGAGGGCTTTTAATGAGTGAAGATGGGTCCAGTCTCTAGAGGGTCGTAAGGGCGTTCTGTGTCAAGTTGTAAGGGCCTTCTGTGTCAGGTTGTGGTGAGCGGGGACGCATGCACCCCGTCGACCAAGTGTGCGATCCTGCAAAGTGTGACACGCCGTGGGAGTTTCCACGCGCGCCAATCCGACCAGCGAGAGGCTTTTCCTTCAAACGATCCAACCCAATCAGGGCGAAGGGGGATGTCAGGGTGAGGGCTCTGCGGGGGAGGGGTTCCGGAGGCACAGGCTCAGCGAATGAAAACGGTAACTCGAACAATCTAAGAAGAGATCAATCTTTGTGCTAGATGTATAATCATGCCCTCTAAAAAAGTATACGATGCACTTTTTCGAGACGGCTATGAGAACGGTGTCCTAATTTTACACTTTTTCCTGTTTTCTTTATTAGCTTAAAAGACTAACGTACAATTTTTTTAAAAAGAGCACGTTTAGCGTTTGAGACTTACTAAACAGCCGGACCACCACCTTAAGAGATAGATAGAGAGAGAGAAAGGATTTGAACAAGGATATTTTCATTGCCCTTCGTCAACTATTCTCATATCTTATTTAGTCCTTGTAAGGACTTAATCATTTTCGTGTTAGAACGTTTGTTACTGAAAAATACGTTCATTCCTTTGGTGATATCTAAAAGTAGCTGTATCAGTGATTAAGGAGAAATTCATCCATCAATTTTGTCCAGCGAAGACTAGCCAAAACGTTTAGCATCCTCCACCACTGCACCACTCCTTTGACTAAACAATGCGTGAAACATTCGATCTATCTCTGGACACCAGTAAATCTTTTCAATAGGTAAAAACAAAGCGTCACTTTTTTTTTCTTAGGATATTCGTGCGGTAAACATCTATGGATGCATTTTCTGCATAGATAAGTTTATGGTCAAGCAAAAATGCTGAAGAATGACTCCCACAGAGGGGGTAATAGGAGTAGGGCTCTAGCACAGCCAACCCTTCTTCCCTTTAGCGGCCTATCACTTCCGTCTTTTTCTGCATTTCCCTTCTCCTTCCCATTTTTGACGACTACAGCCCCAACATCACCTTCTGCATGATCTGCACAAAGTCGGCTTCGTGTTCATCCGGCGGCAGCACCGTTTTCTCCGTCACCTTTTTAAACTCCACGACCACATTCCCTTCGTCGCTCTTGGAAAACTGGACGAGGCCGTACTCCAGCTCCGCCGCGAGCTCCTTCCGGAGCGGCGCGACGTCGACCTGGTGGCCGTTGCAGGATCCCCGCAGGACCTTGTCGAGGTAGCCGGATTCAATATACCGCTGCTGCTTCAGGATCTCGCCGTAGATGAGGAGCTGCATCGCGTAACGATAGGGTTTCGCGTTCGGGAGGTGCCGCAGACACCCCGTGCAGGGCGTTTCAAACGAACCAAAACGGAAACTGGAGCTGACGCTGCCGGTGGTTTTCCAATCCGCGAGAAGAACGCGGCCGGTACGTTTTTCACGCGCGAGGAGGTCGATCGTCCCGGCGATTCCCCACTCCGGCGACGCCACCACCAGCTCGGATGCGAGGACGTCGTAGCCGCCGCGCACCGCCGCCACGGCGGCCTCCGCGACCGGGAGGTAAAGCCCCTCCTCGCCATGCAGGATCGACCCCTTTTCCGCCCCTTCCGGCGCGTCTTTTTTTTCCGTTTCATCGGCGATTTCACCCCTGCCTTGCTTCGCGCGTCCTTGGGCTTCTAAGAGCAGGGTGAAGGCGGGCGGCGGCCGCCCGGTGAGGCTGCATTCGATATACTCGTGGACGTTTTTGCCGAGCAGCGCCTGGCGCGCCCATCCTTTTTTGATCGTCTCCACGGGCGCGCCCGTTTTCCGCGCGACGTGCCGCAGCACGTTTGCCTCGTCAAACGGAAAATAGCGATCGAGCAGCTTCGAAACGGAGCGGAGGGCGGTGTTGCCGAGCTTGTATTGATGCCACTTCGCATCGAAAAGGATATCCACCCCGCTAGGGTGCTTGACGCGCTTCATTTCAACCGCCGGCTATGTTTCCTCCCCCTTTTCCCACCACTCGCTTCCCTCTCTTCTGCGAGTAGTCGTTTGATTTGGCTTGACATATACAAGAAAAAGGAAGAAAAGTTTCAACGAACACACACAGAGATCCCCCCGCATGGAAAAGAGCAGCAGTAAGAACCATAAGAATCCACAGAAGGGAAGAGACCGATTTCTTAGCCTTTCCCTTCCTTTCTCCATCAGAGCGCCAATAGCTATCGGTTTTAGTGGTTTAGCTATTTTCATTTCTAACATCAAGGAGTGCTTCACTACACACCAGAATGCAATCCCTCCCCCCCTTTTCACCTTCCTTTCATCAAAACAAGATATTTTTATATTCTTTTTTAAAATTTTTTTTTTTCACAATTTAGCCGCCTATTCCATAGCCTCCTAACCTCTGAGTGCGTTCTATAAGGATAGGAGGAAAGACTCAAGGGGAAATCAAGCTCACCACCACCACCACCACCGGCTCGCACATTTCCACAATAAAAAAAGAACAAACCCCTTTTACCGTTATTATTCCTGCTCATTAATTGTGGACGCTCGATTACACACTTCGTGCCCTATTAGGTACGCAGAAGTTTGTGATCAATAAATGGTGTTTTTTGGATTTTGTGTTGCATAAGAGGAAGAGGAAGTGAAGGGGAAGGGGTGGGGGTGGGGGGAGGGGAATGACATCGTGATGAAGTGAAAGGAGAATCATACATCGGGACCTAAAAAATAAACATACAAAAGTTTATACTGTAGGAGAGAAAAAAAAAGGGAAGAATACCCAATTTGCCCTATTGGAGCGATGGAAAACAGCAACAACCCATCAGAAGGTGATTTCGTGATCAACACTACCACCGTTTCCGGATCCTGATACCGATCCGAATCCTTCGGTAAGAGACTACGCAAGCGATCTGATCCGGCAAAGATACCGCACGACCCGAGCGGGAAAACGAAAGGGGAGGGATTCTTCCATCACATTTCCCCCTCTCCTTCTCCTCCCATCGCGTTGAACGATCTAGAGCGATCGCTCTCGGTGTGGGTTGAGGGAGGGGAAGGGGAGGGGGGGAGAGGGGGGAAATAGAAAAAAAAAAAGGGTGAAAATCTGATTCTACGACGCCGCGGCGGTCTGTGGGGTGCTTGCCTCGACGGGGTTTTCTTTCGATCCGCCGGTGTGGTCGTCCACGACGTCGAGGTCGGCGGCGGCGCGGGAGTTCGACGTCGGCGGCGCCGCCGCCGCGGCGGTCGACATCACCGGCAAAAACAGCTTAAACTCCGGCGGGAGCTCCTCCTCGGCGTAGAGGCGATCGCTGAAGTAAAGCCGACGGATCCGGCAGTTCGCGTGGACCTGGACGTGGAGCGTCTCGACGTAATTCGTCCCGTACGCCCGTCGGGTGAAGTCGGAGAGGTTGAATTGGATTTGATTCCACCCTTCGTCGAGCCGCATCGGCATCGTGCAGATGAACGGCTTCACTTTCGTCGTGCTTTGGTAGTTGCTCGCGCGGAACCGGCGGCGGATGTTCTTGTCGTCGAGGATGGTCACCTCGAAGGAGAAGTATTTTTTCATATTTTTGATAATCATCACCAAGAAAGGGAGCTTGATCCCAAGCGTCTGTTTGGGGTTCGCGGGGCAGGTGATGTAGCAGGTGCTCACGTTGCTCCCCATGAGTTCGAGCACGCTGCTTTGGATATCCTCATCGGTGATGCGCTTCACGTGGCCGTTGCGGACTTTCGTATCCCATATTTGAAGCGGCCGCGAACCGATGCTGTACAAAATGGAAAGAAACCCCGACTGAAAGCTGTTGTGAAACATGGCGTGGGGGGAATTCACGGAATGAATATGCGCCTCGTGCTGGCCTCCACAACGTTTGAGCACCGGGATGGTGAAGATGGTGATATCGTGTACGGAAGCCTCTCGCTTCTCTCTCTCTCTCTCTCTCTCTCTCTCTTTCGCTTTTTCGTTCACGACGTACGAAAATTAATCAAAGCAAGTACGTCTGGTGTGCACGAGTATTGGAAGAAAAAAAACACAGCTCCGGGTAGACAGTAGAAGGCCGAGAAAGGAATATGCCTAGAGCAAGGAGTTGACGTGCACTAATTCTATATATTCTGAAATGAATCTGGAAACAAAAAAGCAAAACCAAAACGAGAGACGTACGGGGTGAAAAAAAAAAATTGGATGTAAATAATTGAGAGAAATCATGCTAAAGGGAGCCATCCCAAAACCATTACAACAGAGATAATCCCCCCCACCATCCGGGGCGGATAATTAAACGCCAACCCCAACTAAGAAGAATTATAGACGCACCGCATCCAACACCTCACGTTCTTTTATAAAATTTCATTCTTTGATATTCTACACCGCCGTGAGTATCGGCTCATACGCCAGGAGGGAAAAATCCGAAGCGGCTCCTTTCCCTTTTTTTTTTTCGCCTCCTCTTTTTCTCGTTTCCACGGGTTTAATCCTCGACATCCAAGAACAACCCACGGAGGGCGATGTGGAGGTCCTCGACGGTCATCCCGAGCGCCTGCAGCAGCTCCACGAGCTCCGCGTCGGCGCCCGCGAGGGCCTCCCAAATCCCCTCCTCCGCGAGCACCCCGGCGGCGAGGAGCATCGTCAGCGCGAGGGCGGTCGAT